GGTGTTACTTTATTATATTTTCCCAGCCCAGCAACACATAAAAAAAGAGGTCAGGAACAAAGGCAGGGACGACACACTAGCGAGTAAATACCATTCGCGTATATTTAAAAAGTTATGATCATATAGGTGTTCCTACGTGCTGTTCCACCATGAAAAGTGGTATTGCCTTTCCTGCACTGTGCCTGTGTTGGGCTGAATTATTTCCTTAGTCACGATGCAAGACGGCACATGCATACGAGTGGGAGGTCTCCCCAAAGCAGCTCTTGCGTAAGGTGAAGGGGACGGAGTGTTGTTACGCTAAATTCACACGCTTTCTTTGGGGTAGTTTCTTTGAGCTGATTTAAATTGTTTACCAATAGCCATGTAGCTGGTTTGAAATGTAACACCCCCACCGCAGTTTATGTGGTACGAATTGAGGTAAAAGAACGTTCTGTCTCAGCATAATGCTTGCTTACACTCTTTCAACATTATAAAAGAGAGAAAAGCCGTAGCAAATGTGTGACGCCACGACACGTTTTAAACGCACGAAAGCGAAAAATGATATTTTTAAAGCGAACGTAATATATGCACATATAGACACACTTTCCACTAATTCGCTTCATGGTAAAAGACTAAAAGAACTCCACAACTAAACATATACACGGTTGAAAAGTGAGTGCAGTGCAAAGTACCGCTATGGCCCATCAGGCACAATGCACGGAAAATTCGATGACCAATGACCTGATGACACCTGACAGTTCATAAAGATGGTATAATCTTTTCTCTTATCGTGTCCCACAAAAAGTGATCTTGTCACTGTCCCTTTTTAAAAAGTCCTTTTACAAGAGGTTGGGGGGGGGGGGGGGGGTTTTTTCGGGGCCTCCCGGCCCCAAACCAGGGGGGGGGGGGGGGGGGGGGGGGGAGACTAGATATGAAATATAAAAAAAAACAAGTCGCAATGTCAGCAAACAGTACAATATTGCTATATCGTTCCCCCAAATGGCACTTCTTTCTAGTAAGGCTCGACACACTTCACGCATCGTTTAACAGTAACAGCCCCTCCACTTTCCAAGCCGTCAAACAGCTGAAACAGTTTCGAGAATGTAACGGGCTTATTGGGTTACAAATTCGTCTTACAACAACAGCCAAGAATGCTATTATATAAATAAATATGTATGAATACACGGTAACAAAAATAAACAAATTTCTCAATTTTTTTTTAACGAAAATACTCAGAAGAAAATAATGAGAGCATGATATACTTCCGCCGGGGGGCACAAGCCATTTTGGGATGAGGGCAACAACAAAAGCGTGAGAGAGAGAGAGAGAGAGAGAGAGAGAGAGAGAGAGAGAGAGAGAGAGAGAGAGAGAGAAATATTGTCAATAAAATGAGATATTTCTCAATAAAAGTTGTTTTTTTTTAGAACTAGCAAGATTTTTGTGGCACTTGAAACACTTACAGGTCATAAGTGCCGAAGATTTGAGGTTTTACTACAGAGTAGCTTATACACAAAAAAAGGCGAGCTAAGGACGACAGACTTTTGATAGAAAAAAAGGAGCACACCACATCAGAAGGAGCCAACTAACCACCAAAACAGAGAAAAAAGAAGCAGACCTCAACACAACGTAAATCAAACACTTGTATATCAGTTTGTTTTAGTAGAGGTTTTACGGCGCTCGCAACTGCATAAAGTCATATGAGCGCCAGAAAATTCGAGGTGTTACAATAGAGTAACATACATAAAAAAGAAGAAGGGGAGATAAGGACGATAGATGTTTGATAGGAAAGAAGGAGCAAACCACACTAGAGCACCTGCCAACCACCCACTCTTGTATATCAGAGGTAAGTAAGCCATGGCAACAACTTACATGTAATTAAAGGCCTCAACTAGACAAGACTGGAGTTGAGTACTGCAACACAGCGGCCCGCCCAAGCAGACAACACCCAGTTATTTCTTTTTAAAAGCCCAAACTCGTTTAACGCACCCACCAAGGAAGTTCAACGACAAAAACTTCCCACGGACCACAGGGGAGGGAAAGAGGGAACTTCAGACACTCCTGGCTAAAAGTCCGCGAATAAGACTCAAAAATCGGGACTTCCGCGTTCCAAGGGTCGCGCGCAAGTTCTATTTCTCCAAAAGTATCCACTCACGTTTGTCAGGAATCTTGATAGTGATGACAGAATGGGGAACAACATAGGACGAAATGGGGGAGGG